AGAGCTGGCCATCCTGGCACTGGCTTGATGTACTCCAGCTAAGTGTCAGTGGCAGGAGGGGCATAAAGGCAATATTCTGTATGTAAATTGTGTGATGAAGTGAGAGAAGTTGGCAGGCCTGTAACCTACAGAAAGCAAGCAAGGTGGTGCTAACTCCTGTAAATAGGCACAAATTTTGCGTGTGCTTAGACTGTATTTCTGCAGAAGAGCAAAAATCAATTTTATCTTAGCTACAAGTTTGCTGTTTTCATCTGTTTTCTCCCTTGAAGACCAATTTGCCACCATTGTATTTTCACTTCCTCTGGCATTGGAGCTGCTGTCCTCACCAGCAGAAATATTTGATAGTGCAGCAAACCTGACTTCATGGAGTACAGGGCTGATTTTTTGCTGAGTTTCCCGAGGCCTAGTGCATATTTCACTGGGAAGGTTCTCTAGCTATACTTGTCAGAGCCCTTTTTTTTTTTTTTCAAAACCAAAAGGTTTTGTTTGAGATAATGGAATCCCTGGAAAGTACTTTGTAATTATCTGCATAATTATAATGTCTGATATTGTGTATACAGGCATTGACAAGCAACCCACAGTGTGGTTTTTCCAGTGGAATGGAGGAATGGTGTTTTGAAGGCTACTAATCTCTGGAGAGGCAGAGCAGATCCTTGTTTGCCTCATCGTCCATCTCAGGAGGAGTGTGTGGGGAGAGTCCTCCAGCAGTACCACTGGATGAGCTCTGTGTGGGATGCAGAATACCTGAATACCAGAATCCCCTGAATGTTTGGTGTTTAGCAAGGGGTTTTGGAGAATCTGAAACTAAAACTGCTTTCAAAGGGTCCCAAATTCTGCAGGCACCAGGACAGTGCCTCTGCTCAGAGGACAATGTGCAAAGAGCAACCCATAGCATGTTCACTCAAAATTAACCAGCTAAGAGGGAATCTTCTTAAATTATCAGACCAAAAAGGATGCTGGTCCAATCACCTCTAGAACTGGAATGGCTCTGAACCCTGTGTGGCTACTGGTAGCCATACTGATGTTTGTGGTTGAAGCAATTATTTGGATGTTGTTACAACTTGCTGGATGTTACCAATTATACGAACTTTCACACTGCCATCAATAAAGTAGAAAGTGATGCTGAAGGGAAGAACGTAGGAGAGACTGAGTCCCAGAGAATCGAAGAATCATAGAATGGGCTGGGTTGAAAAGGACCACAAACATCATCAAGTTTCAATCCCCCTGCTATGCGGAGGGTCACCAACCACCAGACCAAGCTGCGTAGAGTCACATTCAGCCTGGCCTTGAATGCCTCCAGGGATGGGGCATCTACAACCTCCTTGGGCAACCTGTTCCAGTGTGTCACCACCCTCTGTGTGAAGAGCTTCCTCCTAGAGCACAAGACAGCATTACTGCTATTCTGTGTTCCTGGCATTTTTGAAACCTGCCACAGGAACCAAGAGTAGTGGAGTCAGAGGAGACTCAGGCATTTTCTGACGCACTGGCATTCTTTATCTAAGCAGTAACCTACTTACACCCTGCTGTCATTCATATCCATTATTCTACTGTGGACAAGGAGAATAGATTGCTCTTTACCCCTTGTAGTTTTGGGACATTTTTGGGCACCTGACAGGATAGCCTTGAGACAGTGACCATTTTTTTTCTCCACTACAACAGCCAGTCTGCATTGACAAGTATGATTAACAATAAACTGCATCTCTTCCCAAAGATTTGCTGCTTACCCAACCCTATTTGTGTGCAGATTCCCTTTCTGATACTTTGTAGTAGTGCTTGCTTTCTCTTGAACTTTAGCCCAATTTTCACAGAACTTTTCTTTTTAATTTTTTTTCCAAGATCATTTTGGATTCTAACCCTGTACTCCAGCATGTCTGCAGTCACTGCTAGCTTCATGTAATCTGCAGATTTAATAAGTGTACTGTCTTTTATCGTCCAGGTCACTAATGAATATGCTGAGCAGAGCGAGACTATATAGATCCAGCAGAGCTTCTCTCACAGTGTCCCTCTGTTTTCACAGCATACCATTAATAACTACTCCCTGGGTATGGCTTTATAGTGGTGTCATTTAATCATGTTTCTGTAGTTTATTTACAGAAAAGTTGTTTGAGTCGATGTCAAATGCTATAATAAAACCCAGATAAATGACATCTAACAACTTCTCTGCTATGAAAAGAAATTAATTTGGTTTGATAAGTTTTTTTTTTCTTGTCTCCTCTGTTGCTGCTCATATTTTTATTATCTGCCGCAGACAAGCAAACTGTTTCTTTGATTGTTTTAGAGTTCTGTAGAGGACTGAGGCTAAACTGACTGATAAGGCATCCTTTTGCTGCTCCTCTTTCTGCCCTTCAAGACAGGCACTGTGTTTGCCTTTTTCCTGAGTTTTGGCTCCATACCTATCTGAGCTGTCACAGGTGACCAGAGAGGAGGTCACAGTTGACCGGAAGGGAGTTGTCTGAGATTGCTTCAGTTGGTCCTCAAGGGCTTGTCTCCTGTGGTCTGAAATATCTGGCTGAGGCACAGCGCTGATCTCACCATGGAACAGGGAGAAGACAGTGAATCTCTGCAGTGACAGTGTGTCACAGTGCTAACTGTACCAACCCCTCGTACTTAGCAGAGGAATGTAACTAGGACCAGGACCTTTTTTGCGGTCACTTTTCAATAACTTTCCCTCTGGTTTAGCAACACTTTTTCTTAATACTGTCTTTTAGTATTGATGTACATAAGAAGGATACTAAAATCTATTCATTTTCAATCTTTTGCAATTTTCTTTTCATTTTTGTGCCCTGGTATTTCTCATATTTCTGCCTGAATGTTCACTATTTTTTAATTCCTATTCGGTAACCATTTAGTGTCTTTCTTCTTGTCTTTGAGGCAAATGTAGAGCTTGTGGTGCTGCCAAGCCTTCTGATCCTTATTTTGCATTGAAATGTTATTGTGTTCATGCCTTTTGAGCACAAAATATTACTTCTTTGAGAAACTACAGCTCACCTTGATTTCTTTTTTTCTTTAAACTTCACTGCATGAAGTCTTGCCTAGTAGGTTTTTTTTTTTGCTGTTTCCTGTATGTATAGAAGCCAGGCATTTCTGTTTTGCTGTTCCCCATCCCTAGTGTATGACAGATTCCATCATTTCACAGCCACTTCTAAACACGTTTCCTTCCACTTTCTTATCCCCAATACATCCTTCTCTGCAGGTGCTTCCCCGCTGATTATTTGACCTATCAGTTATGCAAGAATATTGCTCCAATGCACCAGGATGCTCTGTCTTCTGCTGCTTTGCTTCCCTAGCAGATATCTTGTGCCTGTGTTCTCCCATTACTGCAGTGTCAGTTATTATCAGGCAGCCTGACCCATTCAGCCTTGTTGACTCTGTGGATTTATTGCACCCAGTTTAGTCTTAAATTGAATCTGAGATTTTAACTAAAACGTAAATCCATTTCTAAAAGCAATAGATCCACCAATGCTGCAGTAGGCATCTAAGATACTAAAGTGCTTAACTATGTTTCCTGGTGCATATAGGGTGTACGATCACTCCTGCTTTTTAAAACTATTCTCAGAAAGTTTGCAATTGTGATCTTGTAAGTCTGCCTTTATTATTTGTCCAAAGGAGTGCTGCAACCGTGGTGAGGCCGTGGAGGGCAAGGCATGTGCAGGGCAGCTGAGGGCACTGGATGTGCTGGGCCCAGAGCAGAGGAGCTGAGGGGAGGCCTGATAGCGGCTGCAGCTCCTTTTGGAGCAGAGGGCAGCGCTGAGCTCTGCTCTGTGTGACAGCGACCGGGCCGAGGGAACGGCATGGAGCTGCGCCAGGGGAGGGCGGGGGTGGGGAAAGGCTCTGCACCAGAGGGCGGTGGGCACGGAACAGCCTGCCCAGGGCAGCGGGCACGGCACTGAGCTGCTGCCGCTCACAGAGCTTTTGGAGAACGTTCATTGGGTTTGGGTTTGGGTGATCCTGTGTAGAGCCGTGATCCTTACAGGTCCTTTTGAACTTGGAGTATTCTGTGTTTCTGTGATTATTCTTGCTCTTGTGGTTGTACACCATAGCTGCAAGCTGTTCTGTCTGATGCAGTGGCAGTTCTACCTGTGAGGCTCTTGCTTTCTTCTGCCCGCCAGGAGTGCAACTCACTGAGCTGCATATATTGCTAGAAAAGCTCTCTTGAAAAGAAGCCAGTCAACAGACTCTGCTCACATCAGGATTTTTCCTTATTTCTTAGTCCTAATCATCCTAGAGAACACCTTTATCGCCCGCTTACTTGCTAGTGCCCAGCTGTGGCTGCCTGTGTACCTCCAGGTGGTGACGTAAAGCGGAGAGTTTGCCCACACAGATCTTCTTGTCACAGGGAAACGGGGTGGCCACGTCCCTTAGGTGTCTTATTTGCAGGCTGGGTGTAGTTGTCTGTGAGCTAGTCCCTGTCTGTGCTTCGGCATCAGCCAGCTTCAGGTGATGGTGTGAGCGGTGTCACACTGCGTCCCCTCCGTGCAGCAGGTTGTGTTGTACTGTGGGTAGGACAGTCGGTCAGCTGCCTTGTCGGAAGGGTCGGGCGCTGAAGGTGACCTTTTATTCCCTTGCTGAAAAGAGCAGTTGGTGCCCTCAAGTGGCAAATCGCAGGAGAGCGGATTCGGCCGTAGAAGCCGCTGCGGGTGCAGCCCCGGACGGGGTGTTGGGGCTGGTGGGCACAGCAGCACGTGGCCTTCCTAACTGCAGTTTCTCCTTGCAGGCGCAGCGACTGTGGTGGGAAGAAGACATCGTTCCTGGTGGAGCGGAGATCGTGACGACGAGTTGTAAACAGACAGAAAAGGTGGAAAAGCACTGCTTCATCCACCAACGTCCGTGGCGTGTCTGCGAGAAGCATCCTGCCTTGGCTGTGCCTGTGATAAGTGAGAGCCCTAACACTGCCCCTGCGAGATCAGATGGGGCCTGTTTTGGGCATCTGTCCCTACTCCAGCATGTCCCATAGGGGCACAGGGGGCTGCCACAGGCGGCCAAACTGGGAGCTGGAGAGCCAATGAGGTACCTGGAGACGGCAATGCCCATCACGCAGGACAACGCGGGGGTCTTCCTGCCCCTCCTATGGCAATGGCTGCAGAACAGCCAGCGGGAGGGGGCTGAGGGCGCCGAGCAGAAGCTGTGCCATGCAGCTGTCCAAAAGCTGAGTGAGTACATCCAGCTCAACTTCTCAGTGGATGAGAGCAAACTGCAGGCAGGGAGCTGCGGGGCTTCAGATACGGAGATCTGCACTGTCTATCTGGCTCAGGAGATGCGGAAAACAGAGGTTCTGGGTCTGAGCTTTGGGAACATCCCTGCACTGGGGGACTATGGGGAGAAGCGGCGAGGAGGAAGGAAGAGAAAAGGGCATAAGGGGCCGGTGCTCGATGTAGGGTGCATCTGGGTGACGGACTTGAAGAAGAACAGCCCAGCCGGGAAGTGTGGGAGAGTGCGACTGAAGGACGAAATCCTCTCCCTGAATGGACAGCTCATGGTTGGCGTGGACGTCACTGGTGCGAGGTAAGGCTGGAGAAGCTGCGTGTGGTGCAGGTCACGCAATGCTGATTTGAGGCTAAGACCAGAGGTTTTGACCTTTGCTTTCCAGCTCCTAGGAGAGCAGTGGACTCCTTCTTAGGAGTCTGCAAAAATCAAGTAACAAAAACACATCAATAATTAGCCTACCTCTGCTACTTGCATGTCCGGTGGAAATGTTTGAGAGGTCATTGTGTCAAAAAATAGTGCATTGTATGCATCGGAGAGCCTTCACTAAAGAAGGATTCTTTCTGGGTTTGAATAAAACTTTTTTTTTTTTTTTAAGTAAAAACAACTGAGCAACACTGAATTTTTTTTTATGGGTACATCTTATTTTTCTTGAATCATTTGACTGGAGGAAAGGTTTTTTGACAGCTAAATGTTGTCTGAGACTTTTTTCAAAGCAAGCGATTTTGTGTTTTCCAGATTGAAACAACTTCATTTTAATAAATTCCCTTTGATTTTATTTCATTTGCTCTTTTTTGCTGTCTCCTGCAACCTGCAACCTTCAGGAGTTCAAATCAAATATGAAGGTTCTTGCAGTGATACAGATTATTCCTTCTTTTTTTCCTTTCAATTTCTTCATGCTGTAAAATCAGTTGTGGACCAGCTTTTCTCTTTGTGGGCTGCTAGACTCACTGACAGTGACAAGACTCATTGGTTATTTATCTATTGCTTCAGTTGTCAGGCTTGCAAAGCCACAACAGCCTTGGCAACGCTTCCAAGTGAAAACCTTGCAAAATGCACATCTTTTGCTCCCAATGGACAGTGAGCTTCCTACAGCTCTGCAAGTGGGTCTGTGGCTGTGACTCAGGCCGGCCATTGCGCCTGGTCCTACCACATGCCAGAATAGAAGCAATGATCTCTCCATTTATGAGTGCGCAGAAGGTGAATCCAGCCATGGATTTGCAGATGTGATAACAGTTCTCTGTAAGTGTGGGCCTGCAATTCAGTGAATATATAAAGATTGGCACTGAGATTGCAAACGAGCTGATCGCTCGCGCTCCCAGATTTGTAAGATTTTGTGGGAAAAAATAGTATGCTGCTTCCCCTTTGCCAGATGCCTCTGTTCCTAAAATGCAAAGGAGTCGTCTGCAGAGGCCAGCAATAATGTTATCATGTTGTTAATGCAAGAAGAGAGACAATTCCCAATGGAGTGCAAAATGTTTAGATATCTGTTCTTATTATGCTATCCCTCAAGGCTTTATTTGGGGTTTGTTCCTTTCTGAAAACTCTGTTATTAAACCAGCAAGATATGGCTGTTGCTAATGAGAACCATGTGCTCCATTTTCCTTATCTGATATTTTTTTGCCATTATGAAGACAGACTTCCTACTTTTTTGTGATATGGGCCAGCATCATTGTTCTTACGATCCCATTTTAGAGTCTTCCATGCCCAATTTAGGCCAAAATTTAGGGCATTTCTTACTCAAACATAATTTATTTTCAGCATCTAAATCATCCACGTTCAATTTAGTCGACTGCTCTTTGAGAAAGGTACTGTTGACGGATAACAGTTTGCGACCTTGAGGATGCTCTTGGTTTGGAGAGTTTGATTTTACTTCTCCAGGAGTGGGCTAGTAGCTGCAACACCATGTTCCATCTTGTACCTCTGGTCTGCTTCAGAATGCTTTAGAGTTTCTCCATTGAGGGACTCAGAGCATTGGTTTGTAATTTGTAACATCAGCTTGTTTTTTGGAAGGCCTGTTTTGAAGCAGCAGCTGTGCTAGAGTATTGCTCTATTGCTGCTGTCGTGGAAGCTTTTCCATGCGGTTCTTCAAGCTGCCAGGGCAGAACTGCATGGAAATACCTGGAGTCATCCTGGCTCAGTTTTGTCTGCCTAATCACTCCCTGAATGGGTGAAAAACCCTTCCAGGTTCAGATGAAAGTGCATGAGTGCTGTGGTTTGCAGTGTGGTACACTTCATGTAGCCTCTGTGTGGTCAGCAAAGTTAAAACTGTTCACTCAAATTGCAGAGGGTCTCACGGCTCTTCATGGGAATTGAGCAGGAACGTGAGCAGGGCTGGCAGAAATATGAGCATGTACACAGTCTTTGGGTCTTCCAGCTCCATCCTGCCGTGTGCCAAAGGGCTAAGCTAGTGTGCTGGACAGTGGGAGAGGAGAGGTAGGGGTGTGTTTTTCCCTCTTACTGACTGTCCAATGGATGCAGTCATTCTTTAGAGGATGTGTAAAAGATGAAGGGGGCTGCAGCTGACTGGGTAGCCTCGGACAGTTTGGCTTAAAAAATCCCCCCAAAATAGTGTATTTTTTTGCAATTTCATCGACTTGAACTTTAGAATCAAACTATCAATAATTGCTTTGCACTACAGGTAGCCTCCCTTCTACAGTCGCTGCGCAGGGAAGGTGCAAATTGTTCCTGGTGTGGGGCTCTTTCAGCACAGGTCCTGTGTCTGCAGTCCTTGTTCCCAAAGCAGTGACAGGGTCAGGCACTGTGCAGCAGAGCAGTGTGAAGTGCCTTGTAGGGCACCTCTCATTTGTCATCCTCTGCTTGGGAAGTCAAATCTGGTTTGACTTTTTAGAAGAACTGTCATTTATTTAAATTCGAACTGATCGACGTGAAAACAGCAGAAACGAGTTGATAATTGTTGAGCTTGTTTCTTTTTATTTTGTCTATTTTCAGTTAGGGAAACACTGTGCAGTAATATAATTATCAAAGGTTCTCTTCTTAACAGGGTATTATTATATTAGAAATGAATGGTGTAGGTGGTGTGTTTTTGTTGTTAGAGACTGAGAGAAAATTATTGTTCTCTTAGGAGTTAGCAAATTGGGTCTATCAGATGCAATGGCAGGGAGATGAGGTGTATTGAAGTACTGAATAAAGGTTAGTCAAAACCTTATGTATCTTCTGTCTATAGAGCTGTATCTCCAAAGCACATGGGTTATTTTTCCCCAGACAAAAGCTTCCTAAGTATTTTTGCAACTACTCCTCTCATTTTGGGCAATCACTCATTCACTGGAGGGAGGCTGTTCATATTTCTGCAGATGACAGATGAATCCTTCCTTTCTTAAGCATGACTGAATGGACCTTCATTGAGAAAGTCCAGGGAGTACTGCAAAAGAATTATTTTGTCATGAATATCATTCACTTTGAAATATTTGGTTATGACTCTCATCAAGTATAGTTGCAATGCTTGGACAGGGCTATTGTGTACATCTAATCTTCAAAATAACTGCTTCCTAGATTTCCAAATTCCAGCCTGTTTTTGAAAGAAAGCAAAATAAGATACATTCCAGCTGACGACAGTGTGGTATAAGCATGAGATACGATTATTATTTTGTCACTGAGAAAACCCAACCAGTGCTTCAAACTATCACGTTCCCCATCTTCAGAAATGGCCAAACATTGCCATGTGTGGAAATACAGTTAGATAAGTGCCTTCCCTCTTACTCCACAATCTGGAGTAGCTTCTAGAAAATGAACAGATAAGTGTTCTGACAGCCATAACTTTGTGTGGCCTTTTCGTAGTCTCTCCTCCTCAGTGTCCTCGGGGACTTGCACAGACTCCTCCCTGGCATAAGATATGGCATGCCGAATGTCAGGGGAAATCAGTTTATATCTGAAGATGCTGAGAAAGATTTTCAGAAATCAGACATGCAGCAGAATAGAGAATGAGCTTTAAAGTGTCTGTGCTGAGGGCAAAGCTTTGACCTTACGTAAGTTAGGGGTTTTCAGCACAGGTCTCTCTGGAGGGCTTGCTGCTTCTATATGTCACATCTGTGTGCTCCATGACAACTGGGAGTATGAAGGCAATGTCCAGGTCCTCCCAACAGGTCAATGCTGTTCTCAGTAGATGCACAGTACACAGACATCCTAAACACAGTCCCATTTCTCTGTAAGTGTTAGCAGCTGGTTACAAAGTGTGATTCTGAGCTTCTAATCAAATTACAGGTGTCAAAATGGACAAAGCACTACATGCTGCTGACAGTCAGTAACAGTACTGGGCTGTACGTGCATTTAGATGAAACATTGGGTTGTCTATCAAAACAGTCTTTGCTGGTGCTGGAAATGCGATGGGCAGGCCCTGGCTGTATTCAAAGCCAAATTCAGCTTGGAAAGAAGTCTTCAGGACAGTGCTCTTCTTTTTTGACCTCTTGCTGGGAGCTGTGGGTACAAGCAGATGAAGAGGGAATGGGAGTAGAGAATGGGGACCTTTGTTGCATCTGAGCAGGACTCCTCAAAAATTTGATGCTGTACCTTGAAAAGTGATACTTCAGTGCGCTTTTTATTGGACTCCTCCTTTCCCTGGAGTTTGAGCTGAAAGACTTTTCTATCATAACCTGTTTTGCGCTTGTCTTCACAACAGATTTCCTTGTCAGGATGAAAAACTCCCTGACTGTAGACACTCTTTGTTATCAAACTGCAGTGCTCCAATTTCACATTTTCTGTGGGAGGCTGCTTCCAGCTGCGCTACGGTGTGCCACAAGTGCTGCTGCTGCTGTAACACTCCCTGTAGCCACTTTGGGAGCCATGGTTGTCATTGGAACATCTGCAGAATTTTGCAGCACCATGTTACTCAGTGTGGTGCTCAGACCACTGCCAAATGCTCTGGCTGGTGTGTGGGGATGGTGAGCAAGGTTTAGTTTAAATGATGCCCTGTGGGTCATAATGATTTCCTCATGATTTGATGTGTGGTGAGACAAACCATGCCCTGGGCGGTGCTCCCTCTGCTCATCAGCTGTAGCCATTGGTTGAAGCTTTTGGCAATAAATCCATTCTTAGGTAGGGTCAGGAATTAAGGCACATGAAAGCATGCAGTATGAAGGAAGAGGAATTTTTTAGGTTTCTCTGCCTGTGATAAACTTATTTTTCTCTGGAAGTTATTGTGGATTTACGTGCTGCTCAGCAGAGCAGTCTCCTTTATACATCCGTCTTCTCAGGGAGAAATCATCCCAAGAAAATTCCTCTGGTCATCACAGAATGCTTTCTGTCACCACCCTCCCACCCCCTGGGCATGTCAGGTTGCACAG